CCCTTCACAGTCCCCCCTCCGTACCCCCCCAGCGACACCCCTACAGCACGCAGCAGCCCCCGTTCAGCACCCACCGCGGCCCCACCGGCACCAGCCCTGCCCCAGCCCCTCCTGCTCCTCTCCCCGTGGGTCTGGAGGAGCCCCCGAGTGGAGCCAGACACCCCCAGGGCAGGAGCTGATCCGCAGGTGGCCGTAGGGTCAAGAAGACTAAACACTTTGGCAAGACCCACACGGCTGGCTTCCACAGAGTGTCCGGGAGCGGCCCCCACACTCCCCTCCAGCTTGCACCCCACACCAGCTCCTCGCGGGACAATCGGCAAGGTGTCCCCATCCCTCTGTTTGCAGAAGGGAGGTGGTCAGTCAGGCCGGGGACAGAGCCAGGGGAAAGCCCCAGGGCCCCCCCGCTATGCTCTGACCACTAGTCCACACTGCCAAGTGGCCCAGCTGTGCCGGGACACGCGCGGGTCCCAGCTCCCCGAGCAACCCCCAAACCTAAGTTTGCAAGGAAATCACTGGCGGGAAAGCACCTGGGCATTCCCTGCGATGAGACAGCCAAGGATGGGGAAAGGGTGGGATTTTGGAGAAGTGGCAGCACCTAAAGGGATGGGAACTCGGTTCTGTAAAAAAATAACCTGCCACCTGCAGAACTCGAACAAACGGTACAGAATACGCAAGCTTACGTCAAGGTATAGCTTAGCTTGTTCCTACAGATACATTTGTTAATTTGTCACTCCAAAGGTTAATCCTTTGTTGGATCCCTGAATGGTCCCCTGGGCGCAGGGCTCGAGGCACAGAAAACATGGAAAGTTAGTACTGCCTTTAAAACAAACAGAATGATAGATTTGCTGTAATCTGTTCTATAAATGGTCAAATGGAGTACAGAACTTAAATCAATATGGGAAAACAAAAGGAAACTGCAAAGATCACAAGTGAAACTCTTCTTCCATTATCCTAAAATGCTTTAGAAAATGACAGAAGAGCTCACCGCGTGATTGTGAATCCAAATGACCATTGGTTTGTTACGACAAATTATTGATTTCCCTCCTCTGGGTAAAAGAAAATCCCTATTCAAACAGAAGGGAAATGGTAACTTGGAGCCTGATCCAAAGCCCATTTAAATCAACAGAAGTGCTGTAAATGAATGACTGATGTTGAAAAAAAATCAAACAGGAGGGAAAGGTGAAACATTAGAAATGGCACAGTAGAGAAGGAAAACATCTTTCCAGCCTCATTAAGAGACTATGTCAATAGAATTCAGCTTTTAGATGCCTATTCTAAGCAGAGACAGTTATTATAAACAACTTTACATGTTATTTCCTTAAGCCAAGTTGTTTGTTTTCATCAATATTCAGCAACACCTCTCCTTAAAACATCTTTCCCAGTATTAAAGCAGATCCTGCTGCATGATGTGTTTCCAGGTGACTTGGGGCCTGTGAGACTCTCAGGTCACTAATACCTCCTGGTGACTGCTCGACAGTCGATGGAGACCCTACTGGTTTCCATCCATAGCCGTTCCTCAGGATCAGAAACTACAGGGAAATAAAAAAGGAGGAGAGGAAATGGATTTTCTCTACTTTAAATTCGTGTCTGTGAAAATATATATGTAAGCCTTTCTTCCCTCAGAGGTCTTCCCTTGGTTGACGTGCCTCTTTCCAGTTTGTTGCCAGTCTGCAGAAAGAGGGACATCAACGACAAAGGCAAGGAGCAGCCCTCCTGGCTTCCTCAAAGCAGCAAGACAAGATGCCATACACGTTCAGAAACTAGGACCATATCCCCGGTCTGGGTGAGGAGTGTGACTAAATAATTCACTGCGTATCTTCTGCCAGCCCCGAGCGCCGGCTGACACTGCTCTGTACCTTGGTGCCACTGAGGGTACTGTTGCAGGGACACTGCAACACTGAGGAGATAGCACCAACCAGGCTCTAGCTTATAAACCTCACAATATAGAGCTTTTGATGGTTTTGTCTTTGTGATGATGTTTTTAAAAGAAAATAATTTTAAAAAAGAGATTAGGTTAGGAAAGACTGAGTTAAAAAGTCAGATCTGAACACCACCAAGGAGAGAAAACTCAGTTCAAAGAGGCCATTTGAAGAAAAATGGTTGCTAGGAGTTGATGGCTATAGAAGTTTAAGACCAGACTGGACCACTGGGATTTCTAACCTAGTGCTTTATGGAAGCCGTAGGCTTATCTGTATTAATTCTTGCTTCTGGTCCATAGCCTTTCTTTTTCCTTAATGTACCAATCTTGAGACAAAAATCAAGGCTGATCTATTACAGCTATTGTGGAATGTTCCAATGATTGCTCACAGCCATTTGTAAAAAGTTTTAACTCTGCCTGTCTTTAAAATACTGATTGGTCTTGCATTGGCTTCTAGGTCTTGTTTTTATTATGGATTTCTCCATGGAACTACTGAACTTTTATTGAACTGTTCCTCCTCAGATGGTAGCTTTAAGGTTGTGATGATAAAGACATCTAGATAAGCACTCTCTGAGTCTCTTTATGTAAGGCATATTTTCCATCCCTTCAACCATTCCCATTAAATCTTTTTACTCCTTGAATTGCAAGCCAGGGCTGCATCAGATATTTTTTCAGCAGAGGTCAGGCCAGTGCTAAATGGATGTTACATCACATTTCTATTCTTACTGGGTACCCAGTGTTTCACCAGCCAAGGATTTCATTCAGTCTTCTTCCCACCCAGTCTCCCTGACGTGCAGCAGAGCACCCCCACCGACTCATACACCTCTCATCTCCTCCAAGCCCTCTCCAGGACTGCCGCGCTCTAGGACAGGTTATTATATCCAGCATGGCCAATAATCTTTGTCCCTAGATATATATATCCCTACTTTATTGAAATACACATCGTTTACTTGCATGCTGCTTTCCAAACAGCCCAGATCACTCAGCACACCTCTCTTTTATAGTTTACAACTTCCTTCTTTAACCTACTACCTTTATCAGTAATGAATTTACATTGATGTACTGGATTTAGTAAGATCTTACGGAGATCATTTCTTGGCCCCAGTCCTCTGGAACCTCTCCAGAAACAAATCAACTTCAGCAACAATTCCCACTTTGTAATCATACTTAAGAATCTAGCATTTAATCAGTTTCTAGTCTGTTTCCTAAAAGCTATTTTGATTTTGTATCCAATTTATTCACTAACATGTCATACAGTATCAAGGGTCTCTCAGACACAAGCAATGTCATAGACATGACTGATGAAAAAACGTGCTTTTTTTTTTTTTCCAACTTCATCAGTTGGTCCAGTAAAAGAGTAAAAGAGTAAAAGACTAAGGTTCCCCATAAATTTTGGCTCATCTAACAGAAGGCGAATAAACAACACTACTAGTTTCACCAGTCAAAAATACAACAGTGTTCAAAAAATGATATAATATTAGTTTGACAATTTCAGTTCCCAAATGGATTGCTGACTGCATCTTTAAACAGCCATTAAATTACTAGGATTATTTTACAAGTAGTTGGCATTCTGTATGAGGTCAACAAAGTACCAACATTTACAGGAGGTGTTTCTTTCCCTGGGGACCGCACAGGATGGTACCGTGCCAAAAGAGACCAGTATGTTCTAGGTAAGAACTCATTTCCTCGCTGTGAAAAGTCAACCAAGTCCTAAACACAAGATTTACATTGCTTTCATCTTTAATCGTTCATCCTAGCAGGTGCATGAGCAGTAGCATTCTGAAGAGCTGGAAACAGAATATTGCAATCATCAGATTTCGCATGTTATGAGAGAGTAAAACACATGAGCATCACAGAATCACAGAACCGTCATGGTTGGAAAGGACCTCTGAGATGACCGAGTCCAACCACACACACACAAAACACCCCTACACTCTCAGCCACTAGAGCATGCCCTGAAGTGACACATCTACACGTTTCTTAAATACCACCAGATACCATCATTTTGCACAACTCTGAGTCTCCCTTAAACCTGTCTTTCCAAAGCTGTGAAGTAAGAATACAACCATGGTTTAAGTGAACTCTGGAGCAGGTTCAAAGATAATACCTACATTTGGAGCAACAGAAATGGGAACTAAAAAGGCATGAGATTTCAAAAGGAAAGAACTGGATGGACAGTTAAAAGGCCCACGGTTGAAAGTGAAACAGTATTGTTTGACAACCTTGCTTAGAAGTTACTAGGGAATGAACAGACCTATTTGAAGAAAAGCAAGAACTACAGCTTTACACTCTCTGCATATCAAGAAGACCAGAGAACCTGTGTAATTGAACATACAGTGTGAAAAGAACAGAGTGAAATGGTATCAGCAACTGCCATGTCAGTTGAATGGACCATCTCACTGCAACGCACTGGCCCACTTCAGCTACAGGATAAAAGCCATTTCAGAAAGATTCCAGAACAAGCACTCTAAAGGTACGTCTACTTAGCCTTGCTGTGGACCATCTTATGTCAGCGTATAAAAGCAAGCTTTAAATTGGTTTGTTTTGATACTGGGCAGCACAGGTATGAGGAAAGCAGAG